TGTGATGCAATATTCGTAACACTCAGTTAAACGAAAGTCAATTCTACATGAAGACTGACATATTCTTCCATTGAAGGTTCATCCAATCATAGCAGGTGGACAAAAATAGACATTTGTCAGCCGAGCACGTGCAAGATGGCAAGATGGAAAAAAGCAGCAGCAAGTCTCATTCCTCCAGATTTCCACGGAAGTTTTTTCTTCAGAGCAGATTCCAGTGTGGAAACACATTCAATTTTAAGACCTACGTTTTAAGAACTACGATGTGTTTTACAAATCAAGCCTTTCCTCGGATGATTCTGTAGAGGAAAGTGATTCAGACGACGAAAATATTTTTTTTATGTAAAAGGTTTAGACTTATTAAATGATTGAAGTTTAATAAACAAGGTAATTGTGTTCAACAATGCTATTTGACTTTGTTGGGCTTTATACATTTAATGTTTCTGAGTGCTCATCACTATATTACACGATAGTCTTGAAATTGCCCATCACTATATTATCTGCCTTATTTTAGTTTCACATTTTATAAAATGTAAAGCATAATGTTCAACTAGTTTTCATACCAACCTCATAAATCTACACATATGTAATTAATTGGTCAATTATGAATTTTCTGTTGTTAAAATAAACAATTATACGTTGCATAAAATATATTGGTTGCCTTTAAAGTGATCACTGTGTGCTCTACCCTACATTCTCTTAAAATGCATTTCAGTGAATGCTGCCTCGTGTACTGCTGGCTAAATACTGGTAATAATATTAAACAGTAGTAATATTTGTTTGTAAAAGTGATTATGAAATATACGTATAATTAATAATTGATTTCATTTTCGTGTTATGGTCTGCAAAATATCGGAAGGCAATCGCTCAAACGTGTTAATGTTTGATCCTAATTATCCTTATTTACAGATGCTCCTATGTTTATGTTTCCGGCCCGGTACCCGCCCAATCCTCAGTTCCTGCACCATTATATACACCAGATGCTGCCACAAAGCTCGTCTGTTCTGAATGTAATGAAAAATACGAAAAAAACTTTCAAAGATCACGAGCCAGTAGCAGCGACCTGGATATAGAAATTGATGCGATGCTTCTACTCAAAGCAGCAAGGAAAGGTACTTTTTCTTCTGTTGGTACACGTAAAACTAGTCTTTATAAGAAAATAGGCAATGCTACGTCAAGAGGAAATATTTTCTGAAGTCTAACTTCTGTAGGCGTGATAGGGCAAAAAGGTCTAAATCGAACTCATAGTTCTGGCAGTTGCCGCATTCTGCGATGGCGGCTCTGCTGCGGAGACCAATACACTGGGAATTTGGAGGGAGTTGGAACGTGTGGGGAAGGGGATGTTGTTTCAGGAGAGCGTGTGGAGGGGGGGTGCTGTTTCGAGAGAACATCTGTAGGGGGTATAGTTTCGGGGTAAATGTGTGGGGGACGGGGTGTCGTTTCGGAAGAACATGTGGG